TCAAAAACCATCTGTAATCCTCATCTGCATAACAAGTAAAAAATAAATATTTATTGAATGAACAGGTTATGCATTTAAATTTACTTTCCTTTGGTAATATATTTTAATTATCCATGTTCTTGCTTAAAAAGAAATATGGTAAGAAACCAGTACATGTTTTTTGAGAATTCATTCTATATAACTGAATATATTCTTTCTGTGTGATCTGTCTTAACATACCTATTGTTGCCTTAATTCATGTTATAGATGCTGTAGTCACTATTGCTTAAATCTCCATAAGTCAAAGAAATTGTCTTTTAGTATTTCAAATTTACAGACTGATTTGTCTCATAAGAGTAATTTTTCTTTGAGACAGGATCTCGCTCTGTCACCCAGGCTGGAGTGAATCAGCATGATCACAGCTCACTGCAGTCTCAACCTCCTGGACTCAAGTGTTCATCCCACCTCAGCCTCCTAAGTAGTTGGGACCACAGCCACGTGCCGCCACATTTGGCTAGTTTTTAGAAATTTTCTGTAGAGATGGGAACTCATTATATTGCCCAGGCTGGTCTTGAACTTCTAGGTTCAAGTGATCCTCCTGCCTCAGCCTCCCAAAGTGCTAGGATTATAGGCATTGACTACAGCACCTAGCCATACAAGTAATTTATTGTCATACTTTTATCGTAATCCAAGAAATTGATGAGACTTTTGTTCAATTTGATGCATATGCAAGCCTAAGGTAAAAATTGCTTTTATCTCTATCATGTTACTGTCTAAAAACAAATTATTTTATTTGATCCCTAACCAACTTCTTGATTGTAGTTGGTCCATTACATATTTTAATATTTTAGACTTGTGATGAAATATTATCTTACTTTTATAAGATAAATAGGTCTTTAAGTTTGAAATATTGAAGGACAAAAGACTGGGAACAGCAGCCCGTCTTACAAGTATTCTGTTTTCCTACTCATCACTGGCACCAAAGTGTTGACCTGGGAGCTATTCCAATTGCAAAATCCTTTCTGAAGACACACTTTTGCTTGTTCATCATATTATGTCACTCTCACATTTTCCTTTTTTCAGTATTTGAATTATAAAATATTTTATGCATGCAATAATATGCATAATGTAAGTTATAATGTAACAAACTCATTTACTAACTACCCAGCTAAAAAGAGAGAGTATTTGCTATGCGACTGCAGACACCTGTATTACCCTCCTCATGACAGGTCCCTTCCTCTCTTCTCCCTCTTCCCCACCAGAGTTAACTACATCCTGAGTTTTCAGTTTATTATTCCTTTGCTTATCTTTGTAATTTTAATGTGTGCGTGTATTCCTACATAATATATTATTTGGTCCTATATGTTTTTACACTTCACATTAATAGTAACAGACTGTATATATTCTTTCAAAACTTCCTTTTTAATTAAACCTGATGTGAGATTCATTCATAAAAGCAGACGAAACCCCACTTTGTTCACTTTCATGGCTGTATAACATTTCTTTATGTATCACAAGAACGAATACGACAAAAAAGAAGTTAGCTAGCCAGTGGGCTATTTCTCTTGGTTAAATACACAACTAAAACTAACACCTTGGAAATAAAAAAACTTAACTCTAGAGGAAGTATTTTCAATTAAGAAGATGGGTTTTCCTTAAAATAAAACAGGTAGGTTGCCAATATTTCCATCCATATTTTAGGATTATCATGAACTAAGACAATAATATTAGATAATGTGTACAGAATTTCAGAGAACGCTAAGTACATCTCAGTTATCATCCTCTTCTCAGCAGTCTACAATATACTGTCAGCAATTAACAATAGAGTGAAGCTTGTGTTACAAACCAACTCCAAAGTCCCTGTCAGTAACAACTTTTGGTCAGGCAGAATCAGATACAACTAATAAGGTGATTCCCTCCAAATTCTCTCTTGTTTCCCAGATTTCAGAAATCCTTCCTCATAGAGTGCCATCTGATGCCTTCCTAGGAAGGCACTCGCATGAGCTGTAATCAGCTCACAGTTATTAACTGCTTAGCACCATGATCTCAAACTACTCTCTTTGGGACTATGAAACTATGTAAAATTTTCAGAAGTTTTATGGGAAAATGTATTACATGTAGTAGAACATACAAAAAATTTAGATTAATGTTTTAGAGGAAGTATGAAACTCCAACAAATCTCAGTTCACACCAGATCTCCAGATATTGCGGGGTACGCATTAACAAGCACTTGATATTTCTGAAGTTTCCATTGGAAGTCTGAGAAACCTTGCCTAAGGGAAAACAAAGAATCGAGAAGCAGATGGCCACAGGCATTTAGAGGACAGAAAACAAGGTAAAGGGTAGTCTTGAAGGAACTGAGGCTAAAAAACAAAACAAAGCACAAAAATCAGATGCCACTTATGTTAGCATCATCCTTGGTATTAGACATATACTTCAACAATTCAGTTCATAAATTGCCAGCAAGTACTGCAAAATCAGAGATAAATCTTAGTTGTTGCTCTCAAAAAGCTCAGTTTAGGAAAGAAAATAGACCTTTAAATCAAAACATGGGGGTGTGTAACAAGTGTTTTGGGAAACTCAAGAGTGTCAGTTTTGTCTGGGAAACACTACAGGAAATAGTGGTATTTAACCTGGAACATTAGAGATAAATCACATTAACTTGGTTGATTAACATGGCAAGCAAAGGTATGACAATTTTCCTATTGTTGTTACTACTGCCAGCAATGTCCATTCAACTCAGTTTGATAAGATGGGGCAACATTCATGCTGGACATAGACAGGAATCATCATAGGATCTGAGTCAATTGTTCACAGCACGGCATCCAGAGGTTGCCTCTATACCTCTGCTCTGGATTATTCTTCCAAGTCTGTTTCCACCCCTGGGAGATTATGAAAGTTCCCCAGTTTAGCCAGGGCTCTGCCTCGTCCCTTAGGCTTTCCCAGAGTTGCTAAAGAACAACAGTTGCTGCTTAAGGAAATTGAGACAGAGAGCTATGAAATATTTTTTATGAAAATGTTTTTTTTTCCTTCTCCACAATAAATACTGTGAATGACAAAACTTGGTTTAGCTTAGAAAAATGTTTTCTCTTAAAATGTCAGATTTTCTCTGCAGTTTGCATTTCCTTTAAATGCAGTTTCTTCAAAGAGTGCTAGCACAATCTGCCATGTCCCTGTGCCTTCTAGTCTTCAGAGCTCTATGTGCTGTAAAGACGCTCCTTTTGAGAGAGCAGTAGGCATGGAAGGGGATTCCCAGAAAGCAGTGGCAAAAAAAAAAATAAATCAACAATTCCATCGAGAAGGCGAAAAAAGATTATAAACTTTGCTCTTTGAGGAGGAAAGCTATCTTCTCCACGTTTTGCAAAACATTTGTATCACTTCCAAGTTCTATCAAAGCTAAAATTTTGAAGTTATGCTGAAGTTATATTCTTTGTCCCACCTCGTTCTTATGGACTCACACCAAACAGATAAGCATCAAAACCTTAATTCTTGAAGATTGTAACAGGGGTACTAAATGTCCAGCTTTTTCTCAGACTTTTCCAACTGTATTATTTCTTTCATGACACAAAATAGTTTTGTGTTACTGTATGTTCCTGGGCAAATAATGTAAACTCTCAGCGCCTCAGTTTCATCATTGTAATAATGGGGGTGGAATACTGGGGCCATGAGGATTAAATGAATAAAAACATAAAATCATTTAGAATAATATTGTCTGGGACATAGAAAGGTTTGCATAAATGGAAGCTCCTGTCTGTGATGGACAAACACTGGATACAGTAACACATGGGACAGGGTACGTTGTTCATTTTCACTGACTGCGGTGCTTTAGCAAAAGAAAAGTTAAAAATCTTCCTTTCTCTGCAGAAAGGCAGTCAGACATTTGTCTTGAGTTATATTTTTCTTGCTCCTCGGTGAAAGGTGACACCGCTTGTGTGTTTCGAAGCAGGTAGGATGAGCTAGCCTGAAGAATCTCCTTCTCTCCCACTGCCTTCTACTGGGTGACAGGGGCCCAGCAAGGCTCTAAGGATGAATTGTCCAAGTCAAGAAAAAGATGGAGTTTGGCAACTGGGACTTCCAGTTCTGACAGTAGCTAACAATGCCAGTCTACTCACATTGGGCATCCCTGAGGCAGAGGCACCTTGGAAAGGGGAAAGCATCATGACCCAGTGACTAGCCTGTGGCCGTGAACAGAATTACTGAGAGCAGCAGTGAAGTGGGTTCAGTGTAGCCAGTCCAGCCCCGCCCTAGGGGAGTGCAGCCACAGGTGGGGTTGGCTGAACTAAAACTATAGGGCCTGGACAGAGGCATCTTCCAAACCACCCAATGGACTGAGACCAAAGACGACCACATTTCCTTTACCCTTTGCTCGGAGTTAGGCCCCAAGGCCCTGGTACACTCTAAATAGTGAAGGATCCTCCAATAGTAACACAAAATATAATACTTCTTGCGGCCCTTTACAAGTTAGGGCCCCAAATTGTATGACATTTTTGCATCCTAGGTAGTGTGAAGAAATCTTTGCTACATATAGAGCTAAATAGTCTTTAATTTGTATTGTATTTGAAAGACATTTCACACAAATAAATGCTTTGTCAGATCACATGTCATCATAAGTACACTTTATTACAGACCCTTGGCATCACTTTGAAATAAATACATTGTGAGATGGCAAATACCTCAAGAAGGTTTTTTCTTTTTTCTTTTTTTTTTTTTTGTTCTTTTTGTTGTTGTGTTGTTGTTGTTGTTTTGAGACAGAGTCTCACCTGTCGCCTAAGCTGGAGTGCAGTGGTGCAATCTCAGCTCACTGCAGCCTCCACCTCCCGGGTTTAAGCAATTCTCCTGCCTCAGCCTTCTGAGTAGCTGGGATTACAGGCGCACACCACCACGCCCAGCTAATTTTTGTATTTTTAGTAGAGACAGGGTTTCACCATGTTGGTCAGGCTGGTCTCGAACTCCTGACCTCGTGATCTGCCCGCCTTCGGTCTCCCAAAGTGCTGGAATTGCAGGCATGAGTCACCGCGCCCGGCCACCTCAAGAAGGTTTTAATGCAACATTTACATACCTTGGTGCTAGGCATATAATGGCACCACTGATTACATAAGTGGAAACCCACAATTTCAAAGAAGCCTCCTCATGATACTACACTTGATCTTAGCCAAAAGGTCGAGAAGCAATATCCTCCACATGATAGGATCCACCTATCCCATACTTGTACCCAAAAGCACACTTTCCCTCCCCCATCAAGAGACAACCAAATGTCACACTGTGGGGCCCTTGCTCCAGTGTCTCCAGTTGGTGTCCACTCATCTTCTGTATGAAAAGCCTCCTGGAGTGGGACCTGTGGACAACAGTAGATTTGTTAAATAAAGTAAAACACACCTCTGTAATAAAATCATTAAAATCAATGTCGTAGAAGATTAGAAACTTGGAAAAAAAAAAAAAAAGAAAAATGCTAAAGACAGTATTTTACTAAGTATCCAATTTTTGGAAAAAAAAAAAAAAACTATATGTGGGTAAACAGTATGAGAATATCCATGAAAATGACACCAGCAAGTTAACTCTGCATGATTGGGATTAGAGGTGATTCTAATATTTCTTTATTTGCTGATCTGAATTTTCTGGTTTTACTAAAATGAAGATGTATTACTTTTATAGTAGAACCTCTCTCTTCTGCCCTCAATAAGTAAGGTAAGAGAGAGAACTAAAGCTACTTTAGACAACAAATTTGAGTGATCAATACTAAAGACATCAGGGATGGAACTTTTAAGTGGAGTTACTGTATTACGAGTTGCCATTTCAGAGCCTGGGTACCTGGAAAAGGACAAGTGTGGTAAAAGCTTTAGACGCTTGGTAGGTTACATTGCATGAGTTCTCTGAAAGCCCAAGAAAAAGTGAAAAGGCTGTAGCCTGATAACTGCGTAGTTTTTCCCAGTGATCTTATACGTCAAATGCTAGTATATGAAGTAAAGCCACACAAATAAGGGCTTGACAAGAACGCATTGCATTTATAAAGAGCGGGGAAAACAAGAACCACGAGTCTGTGGGAGAATAAAATCAGGCCCGGTCCAGAGTGGTGCACAGGAACCAGCCACAGGAGTAACTCAGTGGTATGGATCCGTGTGGCACTAAGCATTGGACAGATGGGTCCCTGCCCATTTCCCAGGAAGAAAATCAAGTGTCTCAGGTGATGTGCACATTAGGGGCAATGAATGTGGGGAGGTAGTTTACCCTGAATGACATGTTTTGATTTTGGTTATTTTGTTTCTTGACCTTTAAAAGTAGTCAGTGTCATAATTAATATGCAGTCAATGGTTACCTAGAAAGGCTCATTTGGAAAAAACACAAACTGCTTAAAATGGATTCAAATGAATCTAAACTATGGAAAATTTCAAATTCGTTTTCAGGTCAGAGGAAAATAAAAGAGTAGAAGCTTTCTTCACTCTTAGTTTCTTTTTTTTCTGTTCTTTTTTTGTTTTGTTTTGTTTTTTAAGAGACAGAGTCTCGCTCTGTCGCCCAGGCTGGAGTGCAGTGGCGGGATCTCAGATGACTGCAACCTGTGCCTCCCGGGTTCTAGCAATCTTCCTGCCTCAGCCTCCCGAGTAGATGGGATTACAGGCACACACCTCCATGCCCGGGTAATTTTCTGTATTTTTAGTAGAGACGGAGTTTCACCGGGTTACCTAGGATGGTCTCGAACTCTTGAGCTCAGGCAATCCACCCGCCTCAGCCTCCCAAAGTGCTAGGATTACAGGTGTGAGCCATCACGCCCAGCCCACTCTTAGTTTCTTTAGTTTTATATTCTTGTCTCACTGTCTCTGTGTCTTCCTCTGTCTTTCTCTAAAACATTCGGGCCCTCCTCACTCATAAGGTTTTGAATTCTTGAAGAGATACTAAATCAATATTTAAATGAACACTGATCAAACGTTATTCTGTACCGCAAATTAAAATTGAATGTTGCTTTACAAGTGCTATCAATCTTGTAGTTCGCTAACAAGGGAGTCAAATGGGACTTTTTGGTTACATCTCACCTCTATCAGTGTTTGTGGACCACTAAAAGACTTGGGGAGGAAGACCAGAGGGAAAGGGCAGAAGCTGAGAAAGGGGCACTGAATGTGGAGAAACAGCATGGTACTGAGTTCGGAGCCAGATTCTGGCCCCACCACTGCCTGACAAGTTAACAACATTTATTACATATATGCATTACAAGTTAACCATATGTAATCCCCTCAGCAACCTTATGACAGGGCTATTATTAGTATCATTGTCATCCTCTTTTTATAGAACAGGAGACAGGCCCAGAGCATAAAACTCTTAGAATAATGCCTGGGATATCATTACTGCTATGTAAGTGTTGGTTTAAAGACTCAAGTCAAGACTATACCTTGTGTATTTCCAAAGAACTAAGTTTCAGTCAGTACTGCTTCTAAACCAAGGAGCCAAGTTTTTCAGTCTCTGAGAAATCAAACTGAGACCATCAATTAATTTCAAACTAATAAATTGACTCAGCTGCTTCTTCACATTTCATGCTTTTAATAATCACACCCTCGTTTAAAAATTTCCCAGTTTGGAGACTAGTACCACAGATGAGAAAAAGTTGCCCCTGATTATCTGACTTATACCTTGGCTTAATTTAATCCAGCCCATATGCAGAAAACCATTGTTTCTCCACTGAATTGCTCTTGAAAAATATGAAAATGTTAATTTTCCTTTCAAAGTATTTTGTGACAATATTTTAGAACAGAGAGTTGGTAAACTTTTTCTATGAAGAGCCAGATCATAGATATTTTAGGCTTTGCTGGCTACATATTGCTTCTTTTTTTCAACTATAAAACCAACTCTTTAAAAATGTAAAAGACATTTTCATCTCAGGTGGCCAGACCTAAATTTTTGAATGTGAGCTAAGAATAGGTTTTCAAAAAATTGTTAAAGGTACATTTAAAAAATAAGCAAAACAAAGGAGAGTAAGTGACAGATACTATATGTGGCCTGCAAAGCCAAAAATATTATCTGAAATATTTACTAAAAAAAATATGTACTATGGAAAAATTTTGCTGACCCCTATTCTGGAGAATCGTAAGTTAAGGGTATTATTATAAATAATTTAACCCCTGTTCCCATTTTCCGTAGTCCACAAGGCTAGCTTGTTTCTTCAGACAACACAATTGTCTCCAAGGATGCAGAAAAAGCATTTGATAACAAAATTCAATATCCATCCCTGACTAAAACTCTCCAACAAACTAGTAAGAGAACTACCTTAACCTGATAAAAGACATCTACAAAAACCTGTATCTCATATCATTTTTAATTATTAAAAACTGAATGACTTCCCCGTAAGTTCAGGAAGAAGTAAAATATGTTTGCTTTCACCATTTCCATTCAACACTGTACTGAAGATTTTAACCAGTGCAATAAGGCAAGAAAAAGAAAAGTCATCTACATTATACCAAAAAGACACCCGCACTCATATGTTTATCACAGCCCAAATCACAATAGCAAAGTCATGGAAGTGTCCTACATGTCCATCAGTGGACAACTGGATTTAAAAAATGTGGTGGCCAGGCACGGTGTCTCACACCTGTAATCCCAGCACTTTGAGAGGCTGAGGTGGATGAATTATGAGGTCAGGAGTTCAAGACCAGCCTGGCCAATATGGTGAAACCCCATCTCTACTAAAAATACAAAAAATTAGCTGGGCATGGTGGCAGATGCTTGTAATCAGAGTTACTTGGGAGGCTGAGGCAGGAGAATCTCTTGAACCCAGGAGGCAGAGGTTACAGTAGCCTAGATGGTGCCACTGCACTTCAGCCTGGGTGACAGTGTGAGACTCCATTTAAAAAAGAAAAAAAGAAAAAAGAAAAGAAAGAAAAAAAATGTGATACATTTATATGTATCCCTTGGAATGCTACTCAGCCATAAAAAAACAGTGAAATAATGCCTTTTGCAGCAACATGGATAGAACTGGAGTCCATTAACCCAAGTGAAATAACTTGAAAACATAGTTTCTAAATTATATATTCTCACCTATAAATGGGAGCTAAATGATACACGCAGACATGCAGAATGGAATAATAGACATTGGAGACTCCAAAAGGTGGAAGGGAGGTAGGGAGATGAAAAATTACCTGTTGAGTATAGTGTACATTATTCAGGTGATGGGTACGCTCCAAGCCCAGACATTGCCACTAAGTAATATATCTGTGTAACAAAACCATACTTGTACCCTCCAAATCTATAAAAATAAAATTATAAAAGAAAAGTCATCTAGATTGGAAAGCGGATAAAACTATCTTTATTCACAAACAACAGGATTAGCTGTGTAGAAAATGTCATAGTCTTCAAAAAAGCCACTAACATTAAGGAATTTAGCAAATTTGCATAATGCAGGCCAGTATACAAAAATCAACTGAATTGGCAAATATTAACAATTGCCCAGAAATTGAAATTTTAAAAACAATACCATTACAACAGCATTAAAAAATATAAACTACTTAGTATCCTAAGACAAAGATGTTTTGTACCTGACAAAAGATATGCAAGATCTGTAACTGAAAACTACATTGTTGAGAGAAATAAAAGAAAACCAAACTAAATGGAGAGCTATTCCATGGCTCATGGTTCAAAATACTCAGTATTGTTAAGACAGCAATTTGCCTAAATTGAGCTACAAATTCAGTGCAATCCTAATCAAAATCCCAGCAAGCGCTTTTGGAGAAATGAACAAGCTTACTCCAAAATTCATAGGAAAATACAAAGGACATAGAATAGTCAAAATTACCTTAAAAATAAGTCAGAAGATGAATAAAAGCCACCTGATTTTATGACTTTTCTTGCCTTTTTGTTGTCTTTCTACAGTAAAGACAGCATGATGTTGGCATAAAGATCAACAATTAAATCAATGGAACACAATAGATAATCCAGGAAAAAAAACCACACATGTATGGACAAATGATCTTTGGCATAGTTGCAAAAACAATTCAGTGGAGAAACAATGGTCTTCTTAACAAATAATGTTGGAACAATTGGATATCCATGTACAAAAAATGAACTTTGAGCCACACCTGAAGCGCCCTTTACAAATCTTGATACCATACACAAAAATGAACTCAAAATGGATCATCGAGCTAAATATAAAATCTAAAACTATAAAACTAGGAGAGGTCGGGCGCGGTGGCTCACGCCTGTAATCCCAGCACTTTGGGATGCCAAGGCAGGTGGATCACCTGAGGTCAGGAGTTCAAGACCAGCCTGGCCAACACGGTAAAACTCTGTCTCTACTAAAAATACAAAAAATTAGCTGGGTGTGGTGGCACATGCCTGTAATCCCAGCTACTCAGGAGG